ATCCAAATATATATATATATATATATATATATATATATATATTTATCCTTTCATACTCCCGATAACTATTTGATGTAATTTTTGTATTGTAGACATAAATTTATTGTTTTTTTAATAAGTAAAAGAGATTTAAATTAGAGGGAGTACAAGGGGTACTCTAACCCATTACAAGAGACACAGACACATAATTAAAATTCAAAACTAAAGCATAAACTATGAGAAACACAAACCTGGGTTATAATATCAATTAATGTAACTAAAAGAACAATCGGGGATAGAACTACTAATCCACTTCCATGAACGCAGTTTGATATTGTCCAACACTTCCTTGCAGTTTGTAACACCTTGCTGAAAGATAATAACATTTCGATGAAGCCATAGTGACCAGATAACAGAAATCCAAACCACCCAAAAACACTAAGAACGTTTTCTATATATACCAAGATTCGTCCAATATAAATAAAGAGAAATTAAAGAATTAGGAAGCCAACCTCCAACCAATTTGCAACAGCTAACCAAGTATTAAAAGATATTGGATACATTAGAAAGAGATGAAGAGGGTCTTTAACAAACAGACAGCAAAAAAAACATAAATTGTTATCCAACACCATACTACGTACTTGTAACAATGATTTGCACGGAAACACATTCAATAACACCCGCTAACAAAACACCAAACACTTGATCAGAGCCTTGCATTTTCAAAGATTTTTTATAACTAGTTAAAAATTTAAAAAAATATATGAGTTCTTCACTCAACAAGCACTGCAGCCAAAAGTACACATTTTTCACCGAGAATACACCGTGCTTATCATTGTTAGATCCACTTAATGGACGTGTGTATAAATATACAAAGGAGATGGCACCATACATTTTAATCATTGGAAATTTGGAGCATTTAGTTTTAATTTAATCAAAATGTAAATTAATTATAAACTACATTAACGTCCAAGGACTAATTAATTTTACTCATTAGGGTTATCATTGCATGCTGATATTTTGGAAACGTGTGGATATTGAGAAAGAGTGATGATACAAGAAGTAGGGATTTGAGAGTATTGGTATGCATAAATACACATTCTGCAGTCTTAAACACTCGTTCATAATTTCATACCTTTATGTGAATACTATTGCTTTATCAGTTAAATGGAATAATATATACTTTAATAAAATAAGTCGAGAGGCGATATATATTTCTACTTTCATCGTAATAAAAGACTGTCAGGAATTTTCTTTTATTAAGTGTGTTGCATTCTCTATGTCTGATATCGACATGTTTTAAGGTTAAAAAAAATATACTTATAGTGGTATTTATATATAAGTAATACTAGCAACATAATTTTTTTAACTTTTTTAACAGATTTTTTTATTAATTAAAATTTATTAATATTATTCTCTCTATTCTCTTTTATAAATAAGAAAAATATACATACTTTTATTTTTAAATATAAGTAAATTTTAATGGATTTTACATTATTTAATGATACTCATTTTTAATACATTATCTTTCAATTGCACTATTTTTTTATATTTATAATAAAGACAATTTAAAAAGAATATTATGGAATTAATAAAATTGAATACAAACAACTATTTTCTTAATACATGTGAAATTAATTTTTATTTATTTATTTATAATAGAAAATAGGAGGAGTACAAAATTATTAGAAATATGTCGACTTTTTAGTTCGTATTAAATCACATGTTAGAACCACATAATTTTATAGTTTCTAGCAAATTTCACTAAATAGAAAACAGCATATTGCTTATATTTTTTTCTCGCTAATTATCCATCTATGAAATTCTCACGTTAGTATTGAGGTTTGAATTTTTTTTTTTTTAGGGGATTGAGGTTTGAATATTGAAGTATAAGAAAAATATTAGTAATATATTCTCGAATGTATATTTTTAAAAAATATACTTTCTATTATTAACTAAGATTCATTAAAAATTATAAATCTTCATAACTTTATCTTCTTACTTTATGAGTTTCCTAATTTTATATTTTTAATAAATTTTAACCAATAATAAAATTATATCAACCAGAAAAAGAGACACTTTATATTTTTATACATTTATTTAAAATAAAAACAATAAAATAATAGAAGCTATGCATGGGTAATTTGCAGTTGATAAAGTAATTGTGGAAATAAAATAATTTGTATATTTTCATGTGTTAGATAAACTCCACTCACATAATTATATATATAT